CAGAGAAACAGGACCACACTGGAAAACAGGCCGATCTCCAACATCTATTAACAAGGGTGTTGATAGAAGCAGCACAGCTGATGTTTTTTTCCAGGATGACGTCACAGCCAAACAGGAACAGACGAGGCAAAGCTACTCTGAGGAAAAGCAGAGAGAGCAGAAGGTTAGAGATTGAACTAACAGATTCTGCAGAATAGGAGAACAGAGAGAGAATGAAGCAGAATGATGAAATGGGGGTCCCTATGTCCTCCAAAAGTCTAAGCCTATAGCAGCATAACTATAGAGATAGCTCAGGATAACCTGAGCCACCCTAACTATAAGCTTTATCAAAAATGAAAGTTTTAAGCCTAGCCTTAAAAGTAGACAGGGTGTCTGCCTCACGGACTAAAACTGGTAGTTGGTTCCACAGGAGAGGAGCCTGATAACTAAAAGATCTGCCTCCCATTCTACTTTTAGAAATTCTAGGAACCACTAGTAAACCTGCAGATTGAGAGCGAAGTGCTCTGTTAGGAACATAAGGAACAATCAGATCTCTGATATAAGATGGAGCTTGGCCATTTAAGGCTTTATATGTGAGAAGGAGGATTTTAAATAATATTTAATGGAAATGTTTCTACTGCTGGACATAAAAACAGACTTATTGTATTCTATTTTATAGCAGATAGTTTCTTATTGGATCCACTTACAGGGATATTGTAAGTTTGACTGCAGGAACGTATATCAGATTTTAAAGCTAAATAATTGGCCAGTTTAGGTGTAAAATTAGCCTAAATAAAAATACACAATGTAATGTAGATGAAAATTTAAAAGACTGGTAGAGTGCCTTGTTGTAAATTTTTCATGCAATGTAGGTGTAAAGTTTATTTCTGCTGTAATGTCCATTTGTACAGCAACTCTGAGGTAAATCTGACAGTTCAACATTATGTAGAGTGTGTGGTGTTGTCCAGCTGGCTGAGTAGTTTCTGCCATATTCTTATTTCTACAATGTTTCTCACAGCCTTTTACTGTTATCAGTTTGTTAATCTGAGTCACTGACACTGATGCTTCCAACATGACAGATGGCTGAAAAGACTGAGGAATTATACAATTCTTTTACTTCTAGAGTTTAAATGAGCATTGGTTCAAAATCCATTTATCTGAAGTAAAGGTACCATTTCTACCCTTTCTCATAAAGTTCCTACTTTTCATCTCTGACTGGTAGACATTCAAAATGAGCTGAAAATGATTCCCTTCTCTTTTTTTTAACTTCTAGTCCAACGTTTAGAAACTAAACAAAAGCAAAGTATATCTACTGTTATGAGGACTGAAATTGTATGTATGAGAATATAGCAGATAGATATTTTTAAAGTACTCGTATTCTTAACATCTTTAATATTGTATCCAAAAAATATTTATGTTGGGTTTATCCAAACCCAACATAAAGTGGGGCTATTGTCAGGTGGAAACAGCTTTTATTCACAGATCATTTTATATGTTATTAAACTTTGGTCCCATCTGACTTGAAAGCAGTGGTGGTTCTGTGAAACATAACCTGCACTGAAGGGTGGCCGGCCGGAAATTAAAAGTTGGCCGAAACCTTATTAGAGTCAATCTATACTGATCACAATGAACCAATGGGAAGATGAATGCCCACATGTCATATCTGCCAAAAAAATCACTGAAGACAGGCCAGATTTTCATGAGCCTCTTGCAAATAAAGCTGCACACATGTTTGAATATGGTTTCTGTTTAATTATGGTCTACTTTATACGTAAATTAAATTGGTTGAACAGTTGTTCTTTATCATTAATTACATAGAATATGACTGCAGAGATAATCTCTACGCCAAAAAATATAAAACAAATTCTTAGTCCTTTTTAATTGTAGTATATTGGTAAGAATAATCATGTCTGTAAACAACTGCTGTATTATTGTTGTTCCTTTTTGGTTAACATACTAACTTTAAAATGCCAAAGTAGGACATTCCTTATAATGGTATCACTGCTGCCACCCTCTGGTTTAGAGGAGAACTGCTTGTTCCAGAGGCGGTGAATTACATCCCAGTAGGAACATCAAATGAACCTGTTTGGACAGGCCAGTGATTGGTGGCCAGTGATTTGAAAGCACTGTTCAACAAGGCTACTCCGACACATCTTCTCTATGGCCTGTTGCAAACTGGAAAACGGGTAAATCCCCACAGGTCTCTCAAAAAAGGCTTTTTCTTACTATTCTGAAGACCATCAATATATGACCTTCCTTGAAAGAATGCAGAAGTAACAATGGTCATGTGGACAGATTCTCTTTCTAAGCTTCGGATCTCTTGGTCTTCTTTACTTTTTGACAATCCTTTCCAGGCCTGCTATTAAGTTTGCTGTCATCCTAAGCCTTTATCAGATAATGAATTTAAAAAGCTCTGTGAGATGTTTACAATGATAAGTTCTGACATGAAATCAGCTTTAATCTTCCCCACACCATTATATTTGACCTCTCTGCGTTTTTCCTTGGTGATTGTTATGTTTGTTCTTTGAAAAAACCTTCAGAGTATTATTTACACACAAGTGGGCTCTAACTGATTTCTGAGCAAAGCACTGCTTTACATCCAGGGATATCAGAGTAAAGGGGGCTGAATAATGCATTAAATACTCTTAAAATATGTAATATGTCAAAAACCATGGATCATTTTCTATCACTTTACAATAATGGACAGCTGTGTGTAAATCAATCACAATGAATCCCAATAAAAATATTGAAGACTGAGGTTTTAATATAGAAAACGTTAAAAATAAATAAATAAATAAATAAATGTTATGGGGTATAATGTTTGTCATGCATTGTATCCATCACTAGACATAAATCTGGCTTCTCACAAAGAGATGTTGGCTCAGGTAAAATTCACAGGTTTAGAATTTTTCATTCACTAGGTGTTGTGTCAGTCTTCACAAAACTAATTAAATAAATTAAAGATGGGGGGGGGTCTCATTTTTATCAATTTTAAATCTTAATTTAAAAGGTAAGATTATTTGAAACACATGAAAAAACTTTTTCTAAGCAGACTGCTGTGTTCCCATACTGTTTTCTGACAGGTGATGGAAATGAGAATGTGGGATTATTTCGACCATGACGTCATGCAGGTAAAATATGACGCGGGGGGACTTTTTGGATCACCTTTTACCTCCGCCAGCATGGGCAAAGGAGCCCCATTTAGAAAATGACGAGACACACATTTGTTTTCTAGAAACAGCCGCTGGCTTTCATGAGCAGACAAGTTCAGCTGGTTTCAACTACACCGGAAACTGTCTTTCAAAGTAAAAGCTGCTTCGCTTCTATTATAGTTTAAATTTAAATAAAACAAAAATGTGAATTATGTTTTACTGTATTAAAAACTATTGAAAACATGCATCATTTTAAATAATCATAACAATAGTATTCTTTAAAAGTTTATAATTATTAGCAAAAATAAATAAATTGTTAAACATAGCTGAACTTTTTATTAGGCCTAATATATTAAAAGTTTAGAAAATGCTACCTAAAGGTATTACATATTTTTAACTAAAATCAAGAAAAAATGACATAAGGAATAAAATTTTAAAAAAGCAATATTATCGTTATATTATCTCGTGCATTTTTTTCTATTTCTCCTAAAAAATAAATAGTTAACAAAAAGATCCTAAAAGAATGTAGCCATTAAACAAACCAACACACTCTCAAAAAATTAGATGTCAAAAAGAAAAACAGTCTTTTCGGGCAAGGCAACATGTCAAAATATACACCACGTCAGTCATTTTTATGAATAAGAGAAAAAAAACCCAGAGAAAATAAGACACAGAAAAAAAAAAGAAAACAAAGCACTTAATAAAATGAATCAGTTCAGTTCAAAAATGCTTTTCTGATTCAAAAGGGAAATTAAATGTTGTAACTCATAAGAGCATTTCAATGGATTGTTTTAGATGGAATGCCCTTATGAAGTGATCTCTCCTGCCTAATGTCATGAACATATAAAAAAACAACTTATAAAAAATAGAGTAAATACACTATTAACATACTGTATGATACACTATATCATACTATTTGTTCAATGCATTTTTTATTATTGACACAATTACTAAACATACCAGTAATTGTCGTGACAATAATACTAATACCACTAATATTAATAATAATAATAACAATTCTATAAAAGGTAGGCTACCTGAGATCATGGGCGATTCTAGACAGGGGCCAGCTCTTGATGCCTGTAAGGGCCCCAGTACTGAAAACATAAACTACAAACATTACAATGTATGTTATTTTTTCTATAAGAGTAAATTCTCTGATTTGAGCAGGTAAGACATTTTAGAATGTTTTGCAATTAGATTAAGAAAAAAAAAATACAATCCTATTATGGAGTGGATATTATTTCAAGGGAACACTTACATTTCAAAGGGAAATACTCATGCCACCAGAAGATAGTTTCATTTACCTGCTCAATTTAAGGGCAAATATAGGACCACTTATTTCTAACTTTTTTAGATCAGATTTTGGAGGTTAATACTAAATCATCTTTATATGAGAATTTGAGCTGAAATAAGGACACAACTTTTTCATCCCTTGGAGTAATTTATAATTTTGGTTGTTTGTCATTTTCCCTGTTCTGTCAATCCCCAAACTCCATGCAGAAAGACCTCGGGCTGGGGTCAAACCCAAAACCTTCTTGCTGCAAGGCAGCAGTGCTACCCACTGTGCATTATTTATTTTAAAAAAGCATGGGCTATTGCTGCTGCCCACCGGGTTTGATTTCCTTGCAGCAAAAAAATAAAAAATAAAAAATTGGGGGGCAATTTTTATTTTACAAAAGCCCATGCTTTTTTAAAAAATGAATAATTGCCTCCCAATTATTTATTTATTTATTTTTTTTTTTTGGTGCCCTATTGTGCCCCTGTATAGTATTGGGTCAGCTGACGCCCCTGATCTAGAACCGCCTCTGTCTGGATGTAATTTTAGGTCTAACCGGATGCAGAATAGTTAAATGTGTCTAATTTGATATGAGCGTCGTCTCTGCATGGGAGGGAGCTGTGGTCTATTTAAAGCGGGTCATCCAGCCACGGATGAAATAGCAGAAGATCCACAGCCTGGTCTGGATCTCCAAAGCTCCTCATCCAGTCCTGATTTGATCCAAGCTGCGGCTCCAAGTCTCCTTGCTTTAAACAAGCGGCCCTCTGACAGAACCGGGGCTATTGAGCTCCTCATTTTTATTTTGTACATTTTATATTGATTATTGTATTTTTTCTACACAAAAATGGGGAGAGACTACTACAAGACGCTGGGGATCTCCAAAGGAGCAACAGAAGAGGACCTAAAGAAAGCTTACAGAAAACAGGCGCTCAAATGGCATCCTGATAAAAACAAGTCCGCAGCCGCCGAGGAGAAATTTAAGGAAATCGCCGAGGCTTATGAAGTCCTTAGTGATCCAAAGAAAAGGGAAATTTATGATCAATACGGAGAAGAAGGTAATGTGTGTGTGTTTTTTTTTTTAAAGGTTTGCATTTTATTACTGTTAAAATACAGCATTGGTAATGAACCCCCCCTACAGAGCTGGATTTCTGGCTGTAAAAGACAGATGGCTTTGATTCAAGGCACCTTGCAACCAGCAGGGCCTGGAAGCTGCTATCCAGGGCATCATGAGCATAATATGAAATTATAAAAATAGTCGAATTGCGTCAGATTATCAGATACATGGGATTCATTTAAAATGCATTCTTTCAACATTATGATGTTTGTTTTAAAGTTCTTTTTTTAATCAAAAAGGCAAAACCTAAATAATCTTGTCACAACTATGGAATGTGTGCAAAAAAAGGAAAAGGTCCAGATGGCCATGGCTGGGGACTCTAACCATCTGGTTCTTGTTTTTTTACCTTCCTTGGATCCCACATTGAGGAAAAAGGTGTGAAGGAAATGTCTGGAAGACAAAGCACAATATTTCTGTCAAAGAAAACATGGACACATTAAGACAAGCAAAACAAAACAGATGAGAGCTTCCATTATATTAATGACATTTTGCATCCATGTCCTTTAGATTCATAACCTAAAGTCTAAAGTAGTCAGTTCAACACAGATTTCTAAACCTGGTCAAACTCTGTTTTAATGTGTCTTTAGCTTTTAATGCAAACAATTCAATCTGAAAAACTCACACGAAGAGAAAAGACAATTAGGAGAAATGTATTGATACAATTACTTTAGTCTTTGGCGCTCAGACCTCGGCAAGAAACATAGCGCTTAATTTTGATAGATATGCGTGAACAGGAGCAAAGAATAGGGCTGTTTCCCCCCACTCATGAAACTGGTGGTGGAGTGGAGATGGATGATGTTGGTCAGTCTGTAGGCTGCTGGTTAGCGAGACAGTATGCTGAGCTTTATGGGGAGATCCAGTGGACTGTGTGAGCTGATACTAGAGCTTCACTCAGGGACCTGGAAGATGGAAGTCCAGTTGGAAAACACAGGTTGAGAGAACCTGTCCATGATGAGCAAGCATGAAGAGACAGTGGGGAGGAAAAACTCCCAGTTGGGAAGAAACCTCTGGCAGAACCAGGCTTAACATGGCGGTGTTCTGCCGGACCAGTTGAGATGAGACAGTGAACACATTAAGAGTCCGGGAGGAATGACACTCTGATGAAGCTTTAGCTACGATGGTGGAGGAGGGGCTGGGGGTGGGTTGAAACGGTGTCATCTGAATGAAGTCACAGCGCATCTGCTGCCTGCGCACAGGAGCAGACAGGTGCGGATCGGAGGCTTTTGAAGATGACGTTTGAATGTCGATTGGCTTTCGTGGAGGTAAGGTTCTAAGCTGATTGGCTGTGTCGCAGGTGGATGTAGGAGAGCAATGAGTTTCTTCAATTGAACTTCCGCCTGGGCTCCATTATTGAGCAAACCTTATTTATTTATTTATTTTTTAAGCTAGAACATTGCAGTTTGATCCATTCTGCATACGACTTAGAAATCAAGCTCAGGGAAATTACTTTTTTAGGATGCATTGTTTATATACGATGCTTTTTGTGGGCATACAGACAAATTAAAGTACCTTACACCAGAGCAACAATCCCTACCCAACATGCTGATTGACAGGAAGGAATTCAACCCACAACTTTAATGTTGCAAAACAGCTTATACCATTATTCACCCCATTACAGCTAGATTGAACTAATAGCCAAATCTATTTTTCAGGTCTGTACAAATTAAATTCCAATCAGTTCATTACAAGTACAGTCCAACCTCATGGTTAGATTCAGATTAAATTGCAATTCCTTCATACTCACTTAATGTATATGTAAACACAGACACCTTTGGGATGTCATGATGAGTTTTGAATGAGGACCTAAATGCAGAACTAAGTAGAGACAAATTAAAGTTATTTAATGTAGAAACATTTGGATGATTGAAAAGGAAAGCAGGCAAGACAGAGGGCAAATAAATAGAATATTCCATGAAAGACGGATGAAAATCCAGCTGCTTAACATACTAAAGTACAACAGCACTAAACGATAGAAAAACAAAAATACCAAAGGGGAGACATAACCAAATTCTTAAGAAATATGACATGAAAGAAAAAAAGAGAAGAGAAAAAAAAAATAAAGGCAACATTAAATGAATAGAGATTAGTAGGTGAGAGTAGTTCAGTAAGGAAAGTGCTTTGTCCAGCTGACTAAGCTCATAGCAGTATAATAGATAGTGAAACTCAGGATAGCCTGCTCAAACTAACTTGCTACCTTCAATCTCCATGGAAACCACCTGTTTTATTGACCAGTGTGAGACAATAGTCTCCTCTACTTCACAGGCTACCCTTGGCTTCAATTTTTCAACAGCACCAAGATATTTAGCAGTACTTAAAAGCAAAACACAACAGCCTAACATTCAGGTGTATCTGCTGTCTGCCTGTAGGAGCTGTAAAATAACCTCCTTTTATCTATAAGATCCACATTCACATTAGTTCCTACCCTTCTTCCAGAAATGTATCTTTTAGGTTAGACACTGATGCTGGATGAAAATACCTGGTGCCTTCCACCTGCTGTAACCAGGGACATGAGGACATGTTTTAACCCACCGAAGTGACTTTTTGCATAGCCTTTGCTGATGGTTATGATGCAACTATTGGGCTTTGAAACCCTTTCCATGAAGCTCCCAAAGCACTGCCTTTTTAACTGATCTGAAGGCCACATCATATTGCCTGTGTCTTTAGACGAAGCCACTGCATCTGCTATCGTCTCTGATTGTGCATGGCTATTGCTTTATGGTCACTTTCTGTTAGTTCCACTGTAATAGTATATCACTTTGTGATAATGTGTTCCTGTGGTCTGTGGAGGTCTAAGAGCTCAACCAAAACAACACCCTCGGTCTGAGGATTTGTCTAGTTTTCATCTCTCATCTAAGGTCCTGAGATATGGATATTGACTAAAGGAATGAGATATAAGGAGCTGCAATATTTGTTAGCTTAAAGTAAAGATAATCTGAAAAAGAAAAAACAAGCATCTCCTCCACATTGATCAATTCTGGTCTGGTTACCTCCAGGTCACCTTCCTTAAGGGATCTTTAGAGTATGTCCCACTGGTAAATATAGACATGAGTAATGTAGAGCTTTTCTAGTCAGACTGAGAACTCAAAGCATTTTACATTACAGTCACATCCAACCAGCCACACGTATAAATGTGCACAAATTCACACTCTTCAGATTGCAAGGCAACTACTATTTCTACAAAGCCACTGTCACTTCTGGAAGGATACTCATTGGGGTGAACAAGAACCCACTGAATTTACATTATTACATCCTTTCAGGTTTGGGATTCCTGTGGGTCCTACATACTGTAACTATTATTGCTGGAAAGGTTGAGATATTCATGCATGACATACCTTAGACTAATAGTTACTGTAATTGAATAAATCACTAAAGCTTCTCCTGCATCAAATGTAGGGATTGCTTGTTTAATTCCATAAAGTGTAATCTTAACTAAATGGTTATAATTTTTACAGTAAAGGTGTGATGAATCTTTCTTCTTGCCCTTCAGGTTTGAAAGGAGGAAATGGACCTGCTCCTGATGGACAAGGTACCAACTTCACCTACACCTTCCATGGAGACCCTCATGCCACTTTTGCCACTTTCTTTGGCGGCTCCAACCCCTTCGAGATGTTCTTTGGCCGTAAAGCGAATGGCAGAGATGACGAGGACATGGAGGTGGACGGAAACGACCCCTTCGGCTCCTTCACCAGCTTTAACCTGAACGGCTTTCCTCGGGATGGGCACGGAGGGCAGCAGCGCCGGAAACAGGACCCGCCTATTATACATGAACTGAGAGTCACTCTGGAAGAGGTCTTTCAGGGCTGCACCAAGAAAATGAAAATATCACGCAAAAGGCTAAATCCAGACGGAAGGACCATGAGGACGGAGGATAAGATTCTCACCATTGAGATCAAGAGGGGCTGGAAAGAGGGAACCAAGATCACGTTCCCGAGGGAGGGAGACGAGTCACCCAACACCATTCCTGCCGACATTGTTTTCGTCATCAAGGACAAACCTCATCCTCACTTCAGGAGGGAAGGCTCCAACATTGTGTATCCAGTTCGTGTGAGTTTAAGACAGGTGAGATGGTTTTTATTATAGCACTTTGACTGAGCATGGTAATATTTATAGAAGCTGGAGCTGAATTAGTCACAGTTTCAGAACATGCGGCTGTGAGGCTGCGACTTAAACTCTTCAAGCCTAGTCATGATCAATAAACTGTAGGTGGTCTGCCTGGAAAGCTTAAAAAGACTGCTGAATGAGCTCCACTCACACTTTAGCTCTGCAATTATACAATCTGGATCATCAACATTGATGAACGGGAGCCGTTTCTGCAGAGGGGTGACTGCCACCCACGTGCACACGATGTAAGTTCTCTGTGGTTCTTCCCACTCTGTTCAGATCTGGCTGTTACATCTCACCTTTTAATTTTTTAAAGTGTGATCCCTGCACGCAAGCGGTGGCAAAAAAAGCTGCGTTTGATAGGATTCATGAAGGGGAATTCCAGTAGACACGAATTTACTTTCCAGTCCCAGTGAAATAATAGCCGATATGACGTTGATAGCTGTGATTTAGAAATACAACTGGGGTGCACATGAACAATTAAAGATTGCAAATCTAGGTAAAAAAAACTAAATGGCTTTGTGTTCATTAGATGTGAGCAAAGTGTATATGTTAAACAGAAAAACTGGAAACAATTAAAAACTATATGACCGTCAGAACTGGTGCTATTAAGAAAATTTAGCATAAGAAAATTTGATCATGTAACAGGATGAAACTGCAGCAAAATCTCTTTAGCAGACTGGCTGAAAAAGAAAAAGGTAAAGGTTGCAACAGTCCAGGCAGATTAAAGCGTCGGCCTAATTGCAACCCTGTTAAGAAACAGACCTTTGAAAAGCTGAAAGACCTGAAGGATCTGTTCTAAAGACGAGCGAGAGAAGATTTCTGACTCATTCATTTCATAGACTGCCTAAGTGGTACATGAAATGACAAAACACAACTAATAATGTGTATTTATAAAGTGTTACATCCCCGGTGTATTATGACTTACCATGATTTTATTAGAAATTCACAAAAAGGTTTTTTACACCTAGAAAAGTCTTCAAAGAAAAACATCTTCACAATTGATTTGGGCTGCAATTTCTAAAAGGTAAAATAATTCAAGTCAACAAAGTTTATCTCTGTTTAAAAACAAAACAGGAAACTCGGGAAATAATCAGATCTCTATCATTATAATTTAAGCAAATGTAGAAAGTGGAGGTTGAAACCAGTAACGGGTAATTAACCGACAACAAGCAATAATTATTTCTGCAATGGTAGACCAAGTCTTTGCTACCAACAGTATGCATATTGCCTTATTTATACTACTATAACAAAACAATTGATTTACTTTATTCAAAGCTATTTTCTAAGATCACATTTAATGATTTTTAAAATGTTTTCTATTAAATTTGTTTCAGGCTTCTCACCCAGATGATTGTATTTACTCTTTAGGAAAGTTTGGAATTTGTTAGAAAAAAATAAGAATTTAAAAAAGTAACTCCAAGGCCACCAAGAGTGGCAGAGGTGGTTTGAATACATTGAATATAAATCCATATTGTGTTTGTTAGTATGTGGATTTATCCAGTAAGGAGAGGAAGTCTGGAGAAAAGGTTATTTAGAGCAACAGATGTCATGATCTCTGGACTGTGAGTCAGTAAGCCAGTTTGGCTCAGAGTTTGGTGATATTCTTGCATCTATTTTGTTCCTGTGTTCAATTAGTTTCTCTTACACAATTTGTCCCCCTGTATATTTGATATTTTCCCAGCCCTCCTGCTTTAGTCGTCCTGATCCATGTCCCCACACAGCTACACTCTATTTCATTAAATATACTCACTTGTTAGCATATTGATTATCAGCTCAAATGATCACAACTCTTTCAGTTTCTGTTACCTCTTGGCACATCCTTGTTTCCTGCTGGGTTCCTGTAATTTTGGAATAGAATAGAAATAAACTTTATTGTCATTACACTGTCACAAGTATATAGCAACAGAATGTAGTTCGCATCTATCCAGAAGTGCTATACCGGATATAAAAATTAATTTACATTTGCACAGAGACTATGTATGCTTTCACTATTAATGGCATCTTTAAACAGAGTGTAATTGTAAGAGGCTATAAAATAAATAAATATTAAAAAATATATACAGATTATACAGGGAAGTTAGGATACATATATATGTATGTTTATACATATATGTGTATATATATACATTTTTCTCTTTTTTGTTAAATAAATCAGCTCCGTATGACTACATCATGATAAAAAAACAATGCTGTCTATTATACTGTTATACAGAATTAAAATATACATTTTTGCTATGATCCACTGTGTAAACCCCTTTGTGGAGAATCGGTATCCAAAATCAGTCTTAATTGGGTTACTGGTTTTAGATATTGCCCAAATCAAGTGGATGAATGATTAGTAAAATATCTGCAAAATATCTGACATGAAGAAGAGCTAATATATGAGTTTGAATCAGCTGTGTTCTAGCAGAGACATATGTTAGGCCTTTGATTAATCAAGGTGGCCATGATGTCCTCTCTGCTGTTCATTATGGCCTCACAGCTTTATGGAGAAATAGAAATCACCTTTATAATTAATATTTTTTTCAATATTACTCTTTAAATCAAGTTATTGGCAGTAAATCATGTGAGGGCTGTTCTTCTCTGAATCCTCAATAATACCCTTGTCCCTCATCTCTGCAGTCATTGTGCGGATGCTCCGTCACCGTGTCCTCCATAGACGGGAAGACGTCTCACATGAAGATCACAGATGTCATCAAGCCTGGGATGAGAAAAATCGTAGCTGGGCAAGGCCTCCCCTTACCCAAAAACCCTGAACAGAGAGGAGATCTGGTGGTAGAGTTTGATGTGAACTTTCCAGAGACGTTGCCTGGGAACGCCAAGGACGTGCTGAAACGACACTTACCCACATAGGACAAGAGGACTGGGACTCCACGCCGACGGCCTGATGACAATTACTTCAATCAAGAGACACTTTTCCCGCAAGGACAGTTCTGCACAGATGGACCCCAACTGATGAATGTGTGGTGTCTCTTTTAGAGCTATTTGGTGTTTTCATAGATATTGTGCATGCTGCCAAGCTGATACAAGTGCAAGTGAGAGACTGCTTGAGCTCTGACTGTTATGTGAAACTACACGCTTGTTATAAGTGGCCCTTTGGTTGGAAATAGCTGCCAAAAATCCCATTCATGTCGGGAAAACCGTACTGAACAAAACATTTAGATTCTTTTTTTTTTTTTTCTCCATGAATTGATTAGAGGCCGTTTTAAAATACAAGTCCTTGATTGTGAGTTCTATCAAGTTTTAGATTATCATGCTCAATTGTGGTGTAATTTAGTTTAGTTTTAGCTATTGTTTGGCACATTTTGGACCTTTACATGCAAAACTTGAATTAAAAAAAAAAAGAAAAAATGTTTTTACCTAAATAATCATGAGAATCATTCTCTTGAAATAAGCTGTGTAATATTAGGATCGCTTCACAACATGCTGCTTATGAATATTTATAGTCTGTGTAGCAATATTGCAAAAAAGGCTAATTTAAAGCCCATAGAAATGAAATTTGTACATGAAAACGAATGACAAAATGGAACCTACTTGTAATTGAATCTATATTTTGATAGTCAACTGTGATTTTTCTGATGTTGTAAAATACACAGTTATTTTTATTTTGATGTGCAAAATTCTAAATTAAATATATCTTGGCTCAACATGCGGTCAGACGTTACTATAGTGATAATAAGGAGTAAATATAACTGTCCCGGTCTCAGCTGCTCATTTTCAGCTGCCAACACTGGAGGCATTTATGTTTTCCCACCAGGGGATGCCACTACACTTACAGTAATATAGAGATATCTATCTATCTATCTATCTATCTATCTATCTATCTATCTATCTATCTATCTATCTATCTATCTATCTATCTATCTATCTATCTATCTATCTATCTATCTATCTATCTATCTATCTATCTATCTATCTATCTATCTATCTATCTATCTATCTCAAATATTTGTCTTCAGTCACACATCTGTCTTCTAAATACTTTGCACGTGGATCAGCATGTGTTAAAGATTTGTGCAAATGCTGAGTCACAACCATCCAAGGGAGGGAATAGTGTAAACACACCTGTTCAGTGTGGGAGCTTTCCAGCTGGTGATCTTCCCTTGCAAAATCACTGTATCAAACAAGACAGAACCCCGTGGAAAAAAAATCAGAAAGTCATGTTTTTTTGATCAGCTGTTTGACAAAATGACCGCACTCAGGATTGCATCGACACAATAGGCAATCCAAGGATTAATAAAAAAAAATATCAAGTGTGGGAACAGTATTTCACATTGGACTGACGATAAAACATTCAGTTTGACAATCCATCATCACGAGCTTGTGAAGGTAAGGATTTTAGGATGGTACCACCTCCTCATCAACACTTTTTAACCTTTTCGGGGGTTATGAATCTTCTAGCATCTTCTGAATCTTGTGGCATTCATAGGCTAGAAGGGTCTCCGGTAATTTCTTCATCTTGTGGTCTCCTTTCTAGTGGAACATTCTTGCAGAACCTTCAAGGGTTCCAGGAGAGCCCTTAGGTCGTCTGTCCCTTTAATAAAGGGCAGCAGTATGTTTAAGCTTCCTCTGAAGGGTGAACAGCCTGACCATATCACAAAGATAAGCCCTGCCACCCTAAAGAGGAAACTCCTTTTCAGCCGCTTGTATCTGGGATCGTATTCCATTGGTAATAATCTGTACTTTACAGCTGCATTTGAAGCTCAAAACTGGGATTAGTTTTTAAATGTATCAATCACATTCCTAACATAGACGGTCTGTCTGCTGTTTTTTTTCCTTTAAAAATTGTAACCTCTTTCCAGGGCTAAAAAAAAGAAGCAATTTTTTGTTCAGAATAACTTTATAATAATCTAGGACTGGGTAATATGTCAAGAGATTAACAATCTCAACTTTTTTGTTTCAATAGATATATGAAGTGAAACTATATTGTTTATATCACAATGATCTATGGTTCTTTTTAATTATACTTTAGTGAATTCTAGAAGGTTACTTTTTAGCTATTTCTCATGTTTATCTGTAGCTGTCCAGAGGAGTCTTTCTCGAAAATTATTTTATGAAAAGTCCTTCTTCAAAATATTGAGATAGTATTTTTGTTCCATATTGCCCAGCCCTACAATAATCAGTATTGGAACCTGTGTTAATGCATGCCAGGTCCTAATGGATAATTTAATCATGTCCTGCAGGGGGAAGCATTAGCTCCCTGTTAGTGGCTCAGACTCTGTTCTTAAAAAAACACAACGGATCAACAGCAAAGGACATGACACCCTAAGTCATCTCTGACTTCAAATTTAATACTACCTGTTCAGATAGCTGGGAATTTTTTAACCTCTCCATTCTTTTACTAAACTCTGCTACCCTAATTTTCAAATAAAATGTTTATTTTAACAGGAAAAAGAAAACATGGATATGCTTGTAGTTATATTATGGCCATGATCCAGGGCTTATCAGTCTTCATCAAACTCTCATGAGCTTTCCCTAACAGTTTTTTTTTTCCAACAGAATTGTGTCCTTCCATTAAACCTTCCAGAAATATACTGGGATTCAGCTTTCAGCTTAAATTATTATCTTTTATTGCTTGCCATCCTAGAGAAGAGTGTCAAATAGGCAGGGAAACTTCTCCCTAGTGGTGTTGGTTATATTTAGGCCTTAACAATTAATTGATAAAAACAATTAATTATGAAGATTTCATTTTTGGAAAATCTGGATATCTTGTCTTGCACCAGTGCACTTCTTGGGTTTTCATAGCTCAGATTAAATGATAAACTATTTGTCTTTGTGATACCAGTAGCTGCGAACATTTGGTTTGTTTTTGTTTTTTGAACAAATTTTGAATTAGTTGAAAGTCATAATCATCAAAATGTGAGTGAGCCTTAACCCTGTAATGCCAAATGTATCATATTTGATACATACAGTTTCTGAAATGTTTTGCGCCTGACACCTTTTGCATTATTTAATAGTAAAAACTTTGCTCAAAATCCTATTGTACACAATCAGATATACCTGATATAAGAGGGCAGAAGACTACACAAAAAATAATCTTGACTTATCACATAGTAATAAATTATTAATATCAAAAAATTTTTCCTGTTTTTTCTTTTTACATATTTTGTTAAAAGGCCAAATAAGGACTTCAAACCAAAAAAAAATAATTTTTCTGTTTTGTTTTATTCTTGGATTGGGCTTTAAAGGGTTAAAATACTGTACATCGCTCTCCATATGATGACATTTTTTCTTTTTGAATAAGGTTACGGTACTGTTAACATGAACTTTACAATTGCAATATACTGAAATGTATCTTTTAGAGTTGTTTTAAGTTTGGTTATTTTTTATTTTTTTGTCTGTTTGTCCTCGTAGGTATTTCATTCTTAAAGGTGTGTTATCCTCCTAATTGTTTTAGAGCAGGTGCGGAGCTAGATGGGGGGCAAGTGATGGCCATGGCCACCCTTAGCCAATCTTTGGCCACACTTGTGGCCACCTCTACCATTTCCCCTCTAATATAGACAGTATCAGCAGTAATACTCTCAGGTGGAATATTCGGAACATTTAAAATTTTTGTGGTTAATTATACACATCAATATACTAACATCAAAGATGATGCATGCTCTTTTCAGAACTAGATTTTGTGTTACAAGGAGTAAAGACAAAATTATGTCTGCAAGTCATCTAGGAGTCTTCAGTGAAATCATAGATTAAAAAAAACAATTTTAATAAAAACTTATCAAATAATCAATCAATTTTTTATGAATAATGTTTATTGATACATGTAGGTAAGTAACGAGAATGGAAAAGATTTACGCCCCAGAACTCAAAACTGAAAGAGTTTTATCCACTTTACCTCTTATGTAGAAATTATGGGTGTTTGATTATATGCATCTATTTGTTAGCAAAGGCTGTAAGAAAGAATAGTTTGCCTTTATTTAGAAAATATGGATGTTTTGCTTGTTAATTTTCCTGTTGGAACAGTGTAGATTGACCCTGAGGTCTGGCTATGCCTCTGTCTCCATGATGAAAGTTTTTCTTTTTGAATAAGATTATTGTTACACATGAAGTTTATGTTATTTTTATGGCAATATATTGAAATGTACCTTTTAAAATGGTTTCAAGTACTTTTTCATTTTTTTGGGTCATAGGTCATTCACTGTTAAAGGTGTGTTATCTTCCTAGTAGTTCTAGATGGATGCAATCCCTGTGGCGCAGGACAGGTGCACTGTGGGGACTGCTCTCCAGATCCTGGGCTCTTCCCACTGCGCCTGCGTCTCACAACACGCTGATGCACAAACAGAGGAGCTATTGTTGGCAGAGGACTGGGCAGCAGTCCACTGCTTCATTTTATCCCATCCTACCTGTTGGAATTGTGTGAGTCATTTACAAACCGTCACATAACTTTAAAGGGAGGGAAAAAAAGTCTGAACTTGACTGTGCGCGAGCAGGTGAAGGAGAGGAAGAGCGTTTGCGGAAGAAAAGAAGGATACTAAGGAGGAAAGGAGGAAGTAAATAAGGACGAAATAGAGCGCAACAGGTCAGCCTCCTCTCCGGTGTCTTCGCTCGAAACAACTACACAACCATGCCTTACGGACCGTGGAAGAAGAAAAACAAGGCGACGAAGGAACACTTGGTGGAAAACGAGGAGGTGAGCGGCGGACACGCAGGTGCCGGCAGCCTGGGGAAATCCGCCGTGAACGGAGCGGGGCTCCCGCCTCCACCTGCCAACCTGCGGCCCAAGCTGGTGTTCCACACGCAGCTAGCGCACGGCAGCCCCACCGGGAGGATCGAGGGATTCACCAACGTCAAGGAGCTTTACGCAAAGATAGCAGAGGCGTTCAATATCAGCCCACCTGAGGTAAAAACTAATAACACTAACTCACCTGGTGTTATGAAAACAGCAGCAGAGTCAATTAGTTTGGGGATTTTTAGTGTTGCGTTGAGGTGTTTAGATAAAAAAAAGGCCCTTAAAGTTTATCTAAAATTTTAATATATTTAATTTAAAAGTCTGTGTCTTATTGCAAACATATGGCTGAAAACGGCTTGTTTTATGCAAATGAGATCTAACCTATTATGCTTTTTAGATTTTTCATTGTGTTTTTATTTACTTAATGATTTACTGGTTTTTCTATATTAATTATCAACTCCATCATACCCCCCTAGAAGTCATTTTTAAACCTCCAACAATAAAATAAGGGGTCAGTGTTCACTTTATTTTCTTTGACCTCTTGAAATTTGGTCCTACTAAAAACATATTTAGTCTGATCTCTTGCAGATGTATTGGTGCATTTATTAAATATACTAAAATCTAAAATACAAGTATTTTATTTGTAGTTTTTTAGTGTTTAAACAGCTTTCAGGATTGTTTTGGATAAACTTTGTGTTGTGTTTTGATGCATAAATGAGGAATAAGAATTGGAATCCCTTCATTTCTGTAGCTGTTTTCTTTTGTTCATGGTAACTGTTCATTAAACTTCATATTAGGATCAATTATCGTTTAAGCCTATGAGCTGAAAATTATGTTAATAAGTAGAAAAATGCACTTGTTTTGAAGTGCTAAAAGTGGAATTAATGATCTTGAGGTTATCTTTCAGATCTTTTTTAGATGCATTAAGAAGTATTTTCATTGATTAGGTTTTAAATTATTGTCCTTTATGTATTTTTGCCATTTATATATAATTAAGTTGTGATTCTGTTGCTATACAGCTTAAAAATGATCAAGGTGCCAACTAAGTTATTAGCATATTATTGTGCTAATTGACCTATAATACTATTGGATTAGGTTTCACCTCTGTCACACCTATTAAGCTTTACTATTTCTCTACTTGGACAAAAAAAAGTATTGCTTTCAAACCTACCTTAGACCTACACCTAATTATTGAATTAAAATGACTTTTAGAATATTTAGTTTAGGTTTTAGCTCAAAGAAAAATTAAAGCTGGTATTGCAGCAAGGGTAATTTACCTCCTATGTCATTTTATTCTAACCTTTTTAAATGTTAGACATTTTATTCATTAATTCCACATCTGTTTATTTTTCCTAGATGTCAGGTATTTCTGATAATTATATATAAAAAAAAATATATAGCAAAAACATACAAACAAAATCAAACTAAATCTCATAAATCATTTATTTTTTTTAAATAACATTTTCATTTTCAATTACTTCCAGTTTCTACCGGCTCAAAGGGTCATCCCCATTTGGAACTCAGGCCATTCCTTGACAGTTATTTATATTTACCTGGTTTTGCCAAATGTTGTTTGCAAATAATTTTGTTAATGCCTTTTTAACTAAAATTCATATGAAAAAGATTTTTTTGGTGGCAACATTTAGCAGCCTGTCTGTATGTGTTTTACATGTCTCCCTCTTCACTGCTTCATTTGTTTACACTGCCACAGCAAAAAATGTCCATTCTTTGTTGTAGGCTGAGTATTTGCAGTTTAGTAGGATTGTTAATGTTTAAAGAAACATAAACATATGATTGATATTTTGCCTAACCCTTTATTGAAATCTTAGTTTTGTAAGATGTTCAGCTTTTTCAATTTTTGAATAATAAATTTAGATTTTTGGAGATGTTATTTGATTAAATAATGTATTTCTAACTCTAATCCAGAGGATCCTCCTCTGAGAACACTTTATTAGATTACTGGAATTGTACAAACAAATAGTTTCCCTTCCACTTTGAATTATAAAAGTGATGTGCTTTTTTATGTTTTTACTCATCTTAACAGGAATGTTTACGTAGTTTTTTTTTTTTTTTAGTTTTTTTTTACCGTTTGTAAGAATGTTCCTAGTACTTTTACGCTGATATTGCAGGAAGGAATGTATTTAGTTTTATATGGCGCTCTTACCAGAACCCCCCCCCCCCCCCTTGGTGAACTTTAAAAGTCAGCTTTGTGTCATGTCTTCGGCGACACGCCCTGTCAGCTCTTTTTGGCTCCTTTCACCTTTTACACCTTCATTACTGAGAGGGATCTTTGTCCTGCTTCATATGCTGTCATCGGATACCTGCCATAATAACGTGCTTCTATATTTAGTAGCAGTTTATCATGTTCATTGAGCATCAGATTCCACTGGGGGTATAAAAACCTGCCAGCTGTACCTGGTGGTTCTGGAAACAAAGGCATGTTCTGTGTCTTTCCTTCAAGTCCAGACTGTCTAAGCTCTTCTTTTGAAAGAGAATCATGGGTGGCATCGTTTGTCGTCTGAAATTTCTGAGCGGGAAACCCATGAAAACCTCAGTGGTTGTTTCATTCAATCATTCTTTTTCTCTGGTTTACATTGAATCATGCAACATAGTTAAATCTCTAGATTAGACCTTTCTCTTTGCAGTCATCACTAGTTAAAATGTATTCCTAATGAACCCAACTCTTTTCTATCTGAGTGGGACACTGGCAGTTTTGTTTTGTCACGCTCATTAGGCTTTTCCTGTCTGAACTAGTTTTACTGAAGCTTCTCAGATTGTTTATCTCACTGTGACAAAAGACTTAGAACATGTTGCATCAGAGGACTAAAGCCAAAACTGCTTTTTTTTCATGTGAATAGTTCTATTTTGGCAAATTTCCTAAAAAAAATTATTTGAAAATAGAGGTATTAATAAAAGTACAATTAAGCATCAGGTTTCAGTCTTTTTTAGTAGATTTTTATAAAAAAGTAGCATCTTATTTGACAATATATGCCACCTTTTTCATGGACAGTTATTCAGATCTAACCTCCCTTCTCACCAACCCTTGTCAGGTAACCTCACAGACTTTCGCTTTGACCTTATTAATTTTCTTCAGGTGAAGTTTCACGATTTTCACGATGATTTGGATGCTTGCTTGAGAAACAAGCTACCTCTTGTGCTTGGATGTCACCTTGACCCAGAGCAGGTGTCGGGAGGCAGAAGGGATCCAGCTGAATCAGCGTCTGTTGAATGATAATGGATGGAACTTATTGGTAATAAGCACGGCACACTCAATGAAGGAGTGGTTCTGAAGTTGGGGACCACAGACCCATTCTCAGTACCTACGCTTTCTGGCTGATGTTTTGGCCACTTTCGAATGTTGGTGTTGCTTTCACACTTGTGGTAGCATGAAACGGACTCTACAACCCACACAAAGGCCCAAGGTACTGTGGCTGACCCAGGATGGCGCTTCAATGCGAGCTGTGGCAAGAAGGTTTGCTGTGTCTGTCAGCGTAGTATCCATAGGCTGGAGGCGCTACCAGGAGACAGGCCAGTACACCATAAAGGTGACATAAAGGAGGCCGTAGGAGGCCAACAACTCAGCAGGACAGCTATCTCCACCATTTGAACAATAACAAACAGGAGCAGCACTGCCAGAGCCCTGGAAAGGAAATCCAACAGGCCACACATGTGAATGTGTCTGCACAAACGGCTAGAAACTGGCTCCATGAGGATGGTATGAGGGCCCGGCGTCTACAGATGGGGGTTGTTCTCAGAGCCCAATACCGTGCATGATGCTTAGCATTTCCTAGAGAACACCTGGACTGGCAAATGAAAGCTGATTTCCACTGAACACATGTGACAGACCTGACAGAGTCTGGAGACCCAGTGGAGAGCGATCTGCTGCCTGCAAAATTCTTCAGCATGACCGGTTTGGCAGTGGGTCAGTAATGGTGTGGTGTGGCATTTCTTTGGAGGCCAGCACTCAATGTACTCTCCAGACGTATTATGACTGCCATTAGGTACTGAGATGAGATCCTCAGACCACTTGTGACATTATATACTGATGCAGTTGGCCCTGGGTTCCTCCTAATGCAGGACAATGGTAGACCTCATGATGCTGGAGTGCATCATCAGATCCTGCAAGATGAAGGTATTGAAGCTAAGGACTTGTCCACTGTTCCACAGACATGAATCTGATTGAGCACATCTGGGACATCATGCCTCGACCCATCCAACAATGTCACCTTGCACCACAGACTGTGAAGGAGTTAGCGGTTGCTTTAGTCCTGGTCTGGGAGAAGACCCCTCAGGACACCATCGTCCACCTCATCAGGAGCATGCCCAGGTGCTATAGGGAGGTCATACAGGCACGTGGAGGCAACATACAAGACCGACCCTCATTTTAATCTATTTAAGACTTTACATCAAAGTTGGATCAGCCTGTTTGTCCGCTGTAGGTTTGCTTGAGACTCCAAATCCAGGCCTCCATTGGTAGGTAAATTTGATTTCCATTGATGGCTTTTTGCGTGATTTTGTTGTCAGCACATTCAACTTTGTACAGAGCAAAGTATTCCATGGGAATATTTCATTCATTCACATGTGTTATTTGAGGGTTCCCTTCCCTTTATTTTTTTTAAAAGCTCAATTAATGTCTTAAGACTTGCCCAGCAGGTAGGAGAGTACAAATAGTTCAAATCTCAGCATGGGATCAGTTCCATTAGTTAATTATGTCAGTGCTGCAACAAGCTGCTGTTCTAACCAAAGAGCCAATTTTTGTATAACTCTAGCAAAGAATTTAACAAAATCTGTGTGTTGTAATTACATGTAAGAAATCTAAACCTGAAAACCTAAACAGCTTTTTTAGTAATTATTTCTTTTTCAAAAGCAACTTATGCTGTTGATTAAAACTGTTGTTTCAGCTCCTTTACCTATGGTAGCACACCCACTTTAAAAAAAAAAAAAATTGGATACTTTCTAAGCTTTCGACAAAAGTGGAAATATCTGATCATGCTTGCACAGATTTTACCACAGGAAGTCTCCTATGTCCGGCTCAGTGGGGCCGGCCTGAAACATAATCAGATAACTTGTCACAGTAGCATCCCAGAGGACCCAGAGAAGCAGCTCTGCCCACTGAGCCTCCTCCCTTCATAAACACCGACAACATTCAGCCTATCTGTATTTGAACAGAA